ATACGCATTGCAAAATGTCCTTGAACATGAAACCTCCAAGGGAAATCACAGCAACCCAGGCAATCTGAATTGCCTGACCCCGGCTCGACCGATCAAGTTTATGGCTTCACGACTGCGAGATGGTCGCGAGCTCAGGTGGAATATGGTACGACATTGGCACATTTAATGAAGACAAGCAGGCGGTTCAACAGCTTTCAAGTACCAATTTCTTTTTCCTCTGGCAGCATGTTCACCCAGTACTTCCATTGGTTGTGCTTCGGCCATCTAGTTCGTCGATTCCTCACACGACAAAGCTGTTAAACGCAATTCGGTACAATAAAGGCCCTGCCAGTGGGTTTCCGCTTCCACCCACTTTCAACCGTTATACTCGCCGACATTCGGTTCCTCTTCTGTTACACTTCAAATAGCAGCAACCTCTCCCCCATATTCGGACGTCCTGTGTGGCGCACAGCAACCATTTATGAGTCGATTGGACTGCTGCTGCCAGAGGGTCGGGGTTTGCATCCGATATCTGTAATGCTATTTTTATTCAAATGTCTGCGTCCGTGTATGAATTGAGGGGCAATGCTGATCGGTTAATTTCGCACATACCTTTTGATTCTCCTGCGTTTCTGTCTAACTGGGTGACAATTTTGCGGACGCGGGTCCAAACTTCGAAATCATTTGTGGATGACAATTTTTCTTGGTATGTCGCAAAAGTCTGCTTCAGTATATCGCGCGCCTCAGAGTCGAGATGTCGCTCCACTGGATAATTAAACACAAACCCCCCGAGATTGACAATTGCCCGCAAAAGTTCGTCCCGGTTGCTGAGATCAGCAGCGTTGAACACTGTCTTTACTGCGGTTGCGAAGCGGCGCTGACAGTTTGGATGAATTGCTGGCTGGAGGATCAGTGACAATCCTCCAATGTGCTGGATTGTTTCAACTGCCTTGAATGGTAACCGGCTAGATGCGCAGCATTCCATGAACTCGATCAAGATGTGTATTCTCGCTTCAGCAGCGATGTGGTGCATTTTCTCCCAGAGTTCAGAGCCCTCAAAAAATGTGCTGTCACTGTCGTCGTCCCCCACCGAGATCTCCCAGAGGTCGTGGCCCTCATTTATGTTCCCGTGGTCGCCGTCCAGCAAAGATGTCTCCGCGCATAGGAGGGGATCTGTCAATTGGGCAATGAGATGGTGAAACACACGGTAGGGGCTCCGTGTAGCTCGCGCTTTTTGTTCTACCATGCACACAAAGGCGTGTTTTGCCAGCGCAAGTACAGATGGGGAGATAGAAGGGGAATTGACTCGACAGAGTGCGTCAATGATCTGCACTAGCCATTCTTCTGGTACTTTGACCCGATCCCTGGTGTAGTAGAAAAGCATCCACACCGCCGTGAGTGGTTCAGGCATCATTTCCGGTGCATGACGTTCACTGAGCAAGTACCCGGAAGGCCCGCTGGTAATTGTCACTGGTATGGATTTCCATCCTCCCGATGGGAACGCGTATGCTACTCCAATCTTGGCCAGCTCATATTTGCGATCGTTTAGATATTGAATGACGGACCATGGGAGAGCCGGAGGTAACTCATCGTCCAGCGGGTTCCAGTATGAGAGTATGCTCTCGAATACATCGTCGAGCCAATGATGATTTTCGTTGGGGAGCAAATCGTGCCGGTGTGGGGCTGCGATGGCATTCACGGCCGTCCGAAGCAAAACAAGTAAGCGGTGCGGGAGGGGGCCTTTTTGGGGAGCGAGGATGCTGTGAGTTGTGGTAAACTCATACGGGATCGAGATGCAGAAGCGTGCTCGGGTTAAATAGTCCAGTAATAATTCAAGGGGCGTAGTGAGGGATAGGGCCCGTATCTGCTCGATAAATTGGCCTATGATTGATATCAAGGATTCGCGGGGCAGAGTCTCCCATTCCGACTCTCGCCGGACCTGGAAAAACTCCAACAGGTAATTTGACTCCATCATGCGCAAGTGAGAACGCAGCATGGTGATGTTCGGTGTCCGATTGGCCACCAGATCCGCACGACAGATATTGAGATGTTTCAACGTCTCGTCCATTAACCGTCGGGAGGCCCGTAGACCTGCCCACCGCTGCAGGGCATCGGCTGAAACAGCATACGGCAGGACTTCGGAATCAACGTCTCGGTAATCCATTGCTCCGACTTCGTAGGGAAGCAATGAATGCGAAGATTCATCCGTGCTTGATAAAGTTGCAAGGGCCCAGATCGCCTTGTAGCCCAGTATCTGGCGGCGCCGCATATGGGCAAGGGGGAGAAGGCCGTTGTTGCAATGGGTGATCAAATTATGTATCCGGAGAAGTAATTGGACGTCGGGATCCTTCATGAGCCGACGTAGAGGGGCATCATATGCATAGCGCCTGCCAGCTGGCCCCCACAACACATCTGGAATGGCCTCGACAAATGGCTCAAGCTCCGTGTCATCGGTCAGTGATTTCACTGTCCATAGAAGGGCATTGGTGTCCCGCTCGGTGCGTTCTAGCGAGTATTGTGTGGCCTCGAGGAACACAGATTCCACCATTGTTGTGGAGGCTTGGAGATGAGGCGTAGATAATGAGATCTTGTCCGTAGTCTCTGGAAAAGGTACCACAATGCTGCAGAGAGCGGTGTTTTATAGGGGCAGTCAACATGGACCAGAGGAAGGATGGTGAGCACCGAGTACACGATGGCCAGAATGGTGAGCATTGTGCCTGCGATCACCGTGAGGATGATATTCACGGGCATGAGAAAAGCGAGAAGGCCAGCGAAGAAGAATCCGAGGGAGCCATGCAGGAGGAGAGGTATAATCTCGACCACCATGTGCATCTTGAATCGCTCGAGGCCGTAATATAGGAACGAGAATACGCGTGCACGGATGATGGGGGCAGATCGCATGCCGGCTTTGTGTAGAAAATCGCGGGCCCATTGTTCGAGGAGTATTGCAATGAGTGCACACGTCAGACTGAGCCCGAGACTTATAAACCACAGGACGTTACAGATGAGGGCACTTGTCGGCGGGGTAAAAGTGGGAGGCGGGGGAATCGCAAATACAGTTCCGTTAGCTGAGGCGGCGAGCTGCTGGATATCTGGGAGAGTAGGAACGCTGAAGCATCCCCAGAGCTGGGATAAGTGTCTTGTAGCTTTCAATCAAGAAGGCGGTTAGACTCGCGGAGAAGAGACCGGCCTAGGAATAGGGAGGTCATCGGAAGGATTGTCGTAGAGGAGAGGAACACCGAACAAATATTAGTATGCCTTTCATATCGCTCCTCCAGCTCTCCACCAAACCCTTGTCATATTTTTCTGCTTCCGACACGTATACCGCCCAAAGCTTAGCAGCAGCGGAGTCGTCGGCAGGTTCGCCTGTCAGTACATCAGATGCGGCAAAGCAAGAAACACACCTCGCCGACGCACCTCTATCTTGGCCTAGCGCACTTTGTTTCTCTGCGTCCGTCATGCTACGAAGCGACAGATGACTGTATTTGATCTATGGAGGGACGTCAACTCGAGTTGCCTAATCTGGACTTGCAATGGTGCCTAATCATCCAGGCCCCCGGAATATACCTTTGGAGACTAGCCCATATGACCAGAATTGCCCAATTTTTGTCCGGACAGATTTCCTTCCAAAAAGGGTAATTTGCCATTCCCACGAGCTAAAAATTATCAAAATTTCCCTAGTCCATTTACGCTGTTTTATACCGAAATAAAGAATTTGGACGTTATTTTGCAGAGGACAGCTACTTCTGGTCAGATTTTCCCAATCACCCATCCAAACCTCGACGAGACCCCGAGTTTTTTGTCCGGACAGGATCTAGGTTGTCTGGCTTTGAGCTCCCATTTTTGTCCGGTCAGGACCTAGCTTTCCGAGGCGAAAAGTCCAAATTTTGTCCGGCACCGGGGCTAGGGTCCAAAAGGATATTCCGGGGTCCTAATCATCCCCAGCGTTCCGAGGCTATGTTCCAGTAAGTAATTGTTTGCCATTTGGGCCTAATAACCCCAAGAAAACGTATTCAACCGTGACGCAACGGAGATGTTCAACTTTTGAGTGCGTTCTCCATAGTTCTTCCCACTATTTCTGAGTTGAACTTATGTAAGAGACTTTACACTGGAACTAACGCAAATAATCGGTCGTAGTGCCGGAACTGGGGATTCGACTCCCCGCGTCCGAATAGAGAAGAATGTGGGTATATCCTCATCACATTTCTTTGACAATCTTTCATTCTGACCATATCCACTTCCACCAATTTACACATCTCAACGCACCGGACGTGCCATCTTATTTCTATCCTCGTTCGTTGCATACACCTAGGAGGTTCGGGGTTTGATTCCTCCCACGTTCTGAACTACGAATGCTTTTGCTTTTTTTGCAGATCTGTTGAATCTGGATTTCCGAGTTCGAAGTTGTTACGAGTCCATTCCTTTCCTCTGGATTCAACCACCCACCATGGATCATCCCTTTCCGCCCAATCCCGCCCAATTGTCACCTTCCCTCAAGCAGTGCGAGCGGATGTGTGCCGTACACCACGTCCGAGATACTCTCTAATCTTGGTAGCGGGCTACGCAGGCAAGTTTTTGGGCTTGAATCAGATAAATTAATGATCTGCATGAATACTCGAAGAGAGGAGTTCGGGTCTCTGTCAGATAAATCAGCGTCCATGTGAATGACCTCGAAGGAAAAGAACACCGTTGTAGAAATCTCTGAGAAGAAAAAATTACTATGTCAGCCTCTATTCGGACGCCGGGAGTCGAACTCGAGCTTTCCGCATCACAAGATCATGCAGAAGTGCGAGCGGGTGTACCATGTACCACGTCCGAGGTTCTTTCTGACTTTTGAAGAAGGCTACGGATGTGAGCTTCTGCAGGGATTCAGCGAAAACAATGATGTGCATGAATTACTGGAAGAGAGCAGTTGCGAGGGTCCTGTCAAAATATTAGCGTCTGAGGACGAAATGAAGGAAATGAATTACTGTTGTAGGAACCTCTGAGAAGAAGAAAAAAGTACAAATGTAGCCAATCTATTCGGACGCCAGAAATTGAACCCGGGATTCCCGCATTGAAGCTCTTTCACAAATACAGAAACTGCGAGCGGGTGTGCGCATGCACCACGTCCGAGGTACTCTTCAACCTTGGTGCCAAAATACGCAGGTGAGTTTCTAGGCGTGATTTAATGAAAAACAGTGACGCGCACGAATACTCGAAGAGAGGAGTTGCATGGGTTCCTGTCAAACACGCAAGGATCAGCGATCATGCTCACGACTTGAAGGAAATGAACCAGAAAAAGAAAAAAGAAAAACCGACGTTGATGTCAACTAATTCGGACGCCGGGAGTCGAACCCGGGTTTCCCGCACAAATCAATCGCCAAAGATCACTAATGCGAGCGGTTGTGCACCATACACCACATCCGACTTGCTCTCCGACTCATGTGGCAGGCTATGTAGGCGAGTGTCTGGACGAGATTCAGCGACAACAATGATGTGCATGGATACTCGAAGAGAGGGTCCATGTCATAGTCCATGCTCACGACTTGAATGAAAGAAATCTCTGAGAAACAACCCAGAAAAAGAGAAGAAAAAAAAGAACCCTCTACCGACTCATTCAGACGCCGGGAATCGAACCCAGTTTTCCCGCACAATCAACCACGAACCGAACTGTGTTAATGCGAGCGGGTGTGTGCCATACACCACGTCCGAGATATTCTTCGACCTTGGCGGGAGGCTGCGAACGGGAATTTTAGGGCGTGATTCAGCGAAAAACAATGATGTGCATGAATACTCAAAAGAGAGAGGAGTTGCGAAGGTCCTGTCAGATAAATCAGTATTCATGTGAGCGAACTCGAAGGAAATGAAGTAAAGAATGTAATTCGTAGATGACTTGAAGAGAGAAAACCAGAGAAACTGGATACATTCCAATAATTTTGCTATTACATAGCACACTAGTACTGGCAACCACTGCAAAAAAGCTTTTCACCAGCATCACATTCGGACGCCGAGAGTCGAACCCGGTCTTCCCGCATTTATTGAGAAAGGATGGTGAGCAAATAATAGCGAGGGTGTACTGTGCATCACGTCCGAGTTATGGTGTAAGTTGGGTATCTTCATACGCGAACAAGATTCAGGCCGAAAGAGGCGGATGAGAAATAATACAAGATCAAGAAAAGGAATGCTCCACCGGTAGCCAATACTCGAGGGTGAGCGGCGATGGTCCTCTGACGAGAGGTTCAGGTGTGCACCCCGGGAAGATAAAAGCTGCCCAGGCTTGAGCTTGAGCTTGGAGGACATGAAGGTTCGAGACAAAGCTTTGTTTGATCCCATCACAGTGTTAGTTGCGACTGTTTACCTGCAGCTTCCCTTGCTTCCTCACCGCGTCATGTTCGTACTCCACTGTCTAGCTGCACGTATAAAAGGCTGGGTTACTCGTCAACATGCGGCTGAATTACTTGTTGCTTTGGGCTCGAAAGCTCTGCTATCCAACTGGAATTTTACACGAAAGACTTGGACTTCTCCAAAGCTTCATCGTCATGTTCTCGTCTCAATCTATTGCTTTCTACCCTGGAAATAAACGGAAATAACCCGTGTATATCCTGGAAATCATCTAGATGATGACAATTCATCCCTCCCCGCCCAACTTGGTCCCTACCATCTCCTCTGGCGCACTCCCGCAGACGCCAGCAAGCGAGTGGGCCGAGAACATGAAGGACGTCCTCGGTGGGCACGTCACACGCACCCCCGTCGGCACCCCCGGCCCTGCCGTTCCGGGTGGCTTCCCTGCGCATCTGGAGCCAGATTTGGAGCGCACTAGTGGCAGCGTAGACCCAGCGCCACAGGATACCTTGCTTGCGACTGCGCAGTCGTACATGCCCTCGCTCGCGACTGCGAAGGCGTACCTCCCGCAAGCTGTCGCCGCGTATCTACGTGCGTCTCTCTCTCTTCTCATACTGTATGCGATTTATACTCACGCACCTTCTTTTATTAGCGGAATCCATCCCAGCACCCTCTGGATCCGAATCCTCGCTTCCCCCGCTGCCCCCCTCCTCGGCGTCGTTCTCGTCGACCTCGGGCCTCCCACAAGACGACACCACCAACGCCCGACACGAGTCGTATCGCACCACGTCCTCCGCAGGCGACACCTTCAGCACCACAGCGCACACGGGACACTCTTCCTCTGCGATCGCGCCTCTCTCTCCCTGTCCCTCGGTCTCATCCTCTTCCGATGCACCTCCTCTTTCTCCTACAACGGCGAGACCCCGTGCGACCTCAGGCCTCCTCCCCTCGCACCCCGGCGTCGCGCGCGAGTCCCCGTCCCCTTTCCCATCCGCTTTCCCTTCGACAACGTCTGCGTCAACCCTTGATGTCGACGCCGCTGCAGACGCAGATGTGGACCTGAACACCCCGCAACTCGTACAGTCTCCCATCCCGCTCGCACCCGGGGAGAGCATGGACCTCGCGCTCGCGGCGGAGTCATCCAGCTCCGCGCCATCTAGTGCTATTGCGAGTGCGGATGCGAGTGCGAGTGCGAGTGCGCATACGACTCCAGAACACCCCCGCCCGACCTCAGGTCTCCTCCCCTCACACCCCGGCGTCGGCGTCGCGTTTGAGCCCACTACCAACGTGAGCGCAGTCCCCACCGCCTCACTTGACGGTGGACACCCGACGCCGCACGCCGTCCCCGCCTCGTCGACGTCGACATCGATCGCGAGCACGCCCTCCCTCGTCCCACCCTCGCTCAGGGGCGGGGAGAGCGGGTACGCTGCGTCGGAGGAGACGGAGAGCATGCGGACACCTGGGCCAGCGTACACACCCACCCCCGGAGGAGAGGGTGAGGGAGTGGGAGAGGGATTCGCGGGCGTGGGCGCGCACGGTGGTGGTGGTGGCGGTATACAAGGACAGGGCTCCGCTCCCTTGAACTCCTCCCGTCTCCAAGACAACGTGCCGACGGGCGATAAACTGGTTCCGCCAAAAAGGAGCGCTGGCGCGGCGCCGACGGGGGACTTCACACCGCACATCGAAGGGCACGGGAGCGCCGCGCTTAATTCGGGGAGGGTGGAGGATAACCTAATACCCACGGCTATGTACTGGTTTCGCCCGCGGGCGATATGCTGATTCCGCCAAAAAAGGAGCGCTGGCGCGGCGCCGATGGGAGACGTCACAACGCCCCTTCAGAAACAGGACAGCGCCGCGCTCAATTCGGGGAGGGTCGTACCCACGGGCTATGTACTGGTTTCGCCCCGCGGGCGATATGCTGATTCCGCCAAATAGGAGCGAGGAGGGGCAAGAGGCGGACGACGAATGTAGCACTGGCTCGAACTCAGAGAACGCGGGGGGAGAGGGGGAGGGCACGGACAACAAGACGAAGAAGACGAAGAAGCTGATACAGCGCCTCAAAGAGCGGATGCACGTCGGCGGGGGGGGGCGGTCTGCGGTAGTCTTCGTCTTGTGTGTATATGATATATTCCCGTGTAATTCTACCTA